GAACTCAGGCCCTTGCACTTGCAGGGAAGCGCTTATTCTACTGAGCCATCTCCCGGCCCCCCTTTTTATATTTTTGACAGAATGTCTTGCTAAGTTGCTAAAGTGCCCCAGACTAGACTGGAACTTGAAATCCTCCTGTCTCAGCCTTGCAGAGTGCTGAGATTATAGGCATGTACCATCACACTTGGCTTAAATATCTTCCAATAATATAGTCTCTCTGTGAAAAAACAATTCATATGCAACTAATACTAAGGACACCCAATCTTATTCCAAGATTTAAGAAATGGTACAGTATCCAACACCTATGGACACACATCCATTAGTAAGTACCTCTGATTAGTTAAGCATGAAAAAAAATAGTGAATTTCCATGGAAGTGTATGATTTTTTTCCTAAGTTGTCAGAACACAAATATTCATTAATTTCTTTGGACCTAACTTCTCTATCAGTGGAACTGCCTGTCCTTTGATTTTCTAATGTGTATCAGGAAATAGGCATTGAACACAGGGCCTTAGAACTGAGCTACATCCTCCTTAGCCCTTCTCCTTAACCTTTTTTGTATTTTTTAAGACAGGAACTAAGTTGGGTGTTGTGTTGTGTTCTGTTGTGCTTTGTTTTGATCTAGGGTACCATGAAAAACCACTGAGACACTAAACTACAGGGAACCAGCAAGACACTGAACAGAGAGAGACGGACAACTCTGAGACTATCAAGTTAGGTCGGCCAGCTCCAACAGTGAGCACAGTACGATACAGGCTTCTAGCAACAAAATCCTGTCTGGAAATCATTCTCTACTTATCATACACAGCAATCAGGACAATGTTCCCCTTAGAGAAGGGACAAGAGATTGGGGTATGTGTTTGCATTTTATCACTCCAAAGGGGCTTTGAAAACGCCTACTCACACCACATTTAGTGATTTTTCTGTGTTTAATGAACTGTCCCCGAAGACTGGCAAAACTTTACCCTAAGAATAGACTAACACAGACCTAAAAGGAGCACAAAGCTGAAGAATGTGTCGAAGTGGCCTTTCATTCCGTGTTCCTGATGGGGGGACGGTGGCAAACGCACAGGCATGGAATCCAAGCCGGAGACTGAGCCCACGTGGTAGCTCACGGTCTGTGAGCCCCCGTGGGACACCTGCGCTGCTCAGCCCGGGGCTCGCAGCCGGTCTCGCAGCTCCCAGCGCCGCACATCTGCGCCGCCCGCCCGTCCTGAATCACCACGGCACCTGGCGAAGGAGGCCGGGTGGGAAATGTGCGCTCAGCAAACAACATCCTTTCCGGTAGCTTTGACTTTCTAGATCTCTCTCAGTCGTGCTAACTGGAATGGTCTAGAGAAGCCAGGCTTGACCTGAGCCGCGCCTGCCTTCCCCGCAGGGCTCTGCTCTGCACTGCCGCTGGGGTGGAGCCGCCCTCCAGGGACAGAAGCAGCGCAGGGGTGTTAATAGGCTCGCTGAAGCTGCAGCCCACAAGCCAGCATTTAGCAGGCTAGGAGGCCTCTGCGCTTTGTAAGAAAACTGATCTCACATGATGATTAGAAGCAGACAAACATTTTTTTTTTCTCTTCAACATGCAAATCATACTTTCATTGTGAATTTTAAATTCATCCTGGCTTTTTTTCTGTTGTTGTTGTTGTTGTTGTTGTTGTTGTTGTTGTTGTTGTTGTTGTTGTTCTTCTTCTTCTTCTTCTTCTTCTTCTTCTTCTTCTTCTTCTTCTTCTTCTTCTTCTTCCTCTTCTTCCTCTTCCTCTTCTTCTTCTTTTATCAATCCCTGTATAGTACTGGGTATGGAACCCCTGGCTTTCACATTAAGCCACTTCTCCAAGCCTTCTCTTAGTCTTTCTTTTGTGACAAGGACTCCCTAATTCACCAAGTTTCCCAGGCTGGGCTCAAACTTGTAATTCTCCTGCCTCAATCTCCCAGAGTGCTGGTTACAGGCATGTACAACCATCCCCAGCCCAGGCATTTTTATAAGTTAAAGTAAAACATCTAAAATTTAGCAGCATACATTTATTAAACTCATTGTCTCCGTCTCATTAAATGAGATACTGTCTATTGTGGTACTGAAATTCCGAGCTAAATGAAATGCTTCAAGAGTTTTGTGAATTATGATGAGCATTGTAAATTTATTAAATCTAATTTTATGTTGAGTGAAGTGTGTGTGTGTGTGTGTGTGTGTTTACAAAGCCTCGAAAGCTATAACTTACCCTTAAGATAATTCTTTCTGGGGGTCCTATATGTAGGTGTCTCACAGAGGATACAAGGAATAAAAGATCAATAATAAAACAACTATGGGAATGATGGCTTTCCTCTATATTACTGTCCTATATGAATGAAGAAATAATTCTCAAACTGTCAGGCTGTTCCATTGGTAAAATGGGAAATATATATATATATATATATATATATATATATATCCAATCTTCAATCTTTAGAACAAAGACTAGCATTGTAACCATTTATTAGAAATGATGAATAATGGAGTTTAGAACTGATCCTTAGAGAGAAAACAATACCCACCGATTTAGAATTTCTAGGCTCCAGCACCAGTGACAGTTTATAAATATCATCTTCCGTGTGATAGAGGTCCAGAGACAGCTGCAATGGAAGTAAAAAGGATAAGTAAGTGTGTTCAATCATGCTTTTCTACGTACATTGCTGAAGTATTTTTCAAATTCAACATTTAAGTCTAATGTCCAATAATATGAATGAATACAAAAACATTAGAAGGTGGCACATGGAGGTAGAAAATGAAACATACAGGAGGTAAACGAAATCCTGCTGTGATCACGAGTGTTGCTAAGAACCATCACTCAGCTCCTCCACAACATGTACAGAACAGCTCTTAAGTGCTAACTTCTGTGTGTGTGTGTGTGTGTGTGTGTGTGTGTGTGTGTGTGTGTTAGAGATACAGTCTCACTATGTAGCTCAGGCTGGCCTTGAACTCACCTCACGATGATCTTCCTGCCTCAGCCTCCTTAGTGCTGGGAACATAGCTGGGTGCCACCCTGTCCCTAATCAATAAGTTCTGAGCCACAGGCAAAGGATACTTGACATTTTTCAGGCTCAAGGCAAGGACAGATGCATAGAGTAAGAATTAAAAGTAATAAGTACTGTCTTCAAGGTTTGATTAAAGAACTGCAGAAATAAAGAAACAACTCAGTTTCTATTATTATAAAACACTATGTTAAGTCCTGGTGGTTACAAAATACTGAGAAATTGTTTCCTGCCCTGAAGAGCCCGGCAGTTTATTTGAGTAAGCTGAAGACACAGACCATGTCCACACCAGTCACGCTACCAGTGAGGTTAGCTGCCCACATTAAATGCTACAGATATCATTCAGGGAGGCAGCACAGAAAATGTGTAAGAGCAGAGATTCTATGGGGCAGCCTAGGAGCAAATATTGGTTGGAGAGCCAGTTCATTATGAAAGTGAGGTGGGATACCTGAAGGGATTTCTCCCTCAGTACTAGAGACTGACACCAGATCCTCCTGTGTGCTAGGCAAGTGCTCTACCCCTGGGCTACATCCCTAGTCCTTTTTATTGAGACAGGATCTCCCCAAGTTGCCATCCTCCTGCCTCATCTCCCAAGTAGCTGGGTTTACAGGTGTGTGCCATTGTTCAAAAGGAATGTTTTAACAGAAATACTACAATGGTACTCTAATGTATTAATGAGGGGAGGGAAAGTCTATGGGTACAATTCAACTAGAGTTCTTTCCTCCTAGCTCCACAGTAAGGGAAATCTGTGACCATAAATGGGATCTGACAACGGCTCTCTCTAGGGCAGCAATTGGGAGACATCTGATCTGTGATGATTCAGGCGCAGTCACTGTTGGACTATGGCAACTGTCACACTGACAAATGATACCAAGTCACCCAACTCTTCTCTTTTGTCAATTCAGAAATCTGGAGTTTTACGTAATATTTAAACACTTGCAACTGGCAACCTTTAGAGTTCTACATGGGCAGAACAAAACACATTCTCCCCCGGCAGTTTGCCCACCATCTACTGAATTCCCCAATTGAGGACTCTGCTGAGTTTGAAGCCTCATGAAAGTAACTAGCATCTCTGTCTGTCCCTCATCTATGCACTGATCCCCACTTGAAGACTCATAGTTTGAGAATTCCATAAATAAGCAGAGAAAACCAAGTAACCCCTCCCTTCACAAGTTAATCACAGCCTTGCGGAGCTGATCCCTGCCTGCTGCCTCAGCTTCCAGGCCCAGATTGACTGCGTGGCATCTATATCTGCTGATAAGATGATAGGAGCACCTTGACACCCAACCAGAGACCCAGACAAACCACACACGAAGTCAGGAGGTGCTCTTGCAAAAGACACAAACCCTTCTGGGGTATTTTCCATGTCAACCAAACAGGTGACACCTAGATATGGAAATGTTTTTGCCTCCTATGTCTGTTTTCTCCTCACTAGGGGTGTGAATCTGTCCAAGCAGTTAACTTCCCTGAGCTTCAGTCTCCTGCCCTGTAAAATGGGAGTCAGAAACAAGCGCTCCCCTCCCAGGACTTCAGGCAAGCATGTGTCCAGTTGGGCTGCTGAGGAGGTCCCAGCTGCAGGTTTGCTTGTAGTCAGTGCAGCAGCCCACGATGCCAGGCTGCTTACGTGTGAGTTGGAAGCTGCACTGGGGGCTACTGCTGCCCTCTCTGCTTTGCCACCCTTAATCCACCTCCTGTCACAGACTTTTGGGCCTTGAGGCCTGCCCAACAAGTGGCCTGTTCTGTGCTCTCCACACACTGTTGATGCCATAGACAGGCTCTCACTCTGGCTCAAGCATGTTTGCTGACCCTAGATGCTTCTGACAAATGCTCTGCTCCACTGTGTCAGACAATGGTGGTTACATTTACTGGCCAATCCTTTCAGCAAAGGTGGTTAAAGATTTATTCTTCATGTTAGGTTCCACTTTGTCATAAATGTTTATTGTACAACAAAATATACTTGGGCATCAAACTCCCTCCACTCATCATTTTTGCAACTCTTCTCTCTTTTTTTTTTTTTTCTTTTTCAAAAATGTGACTTTAAAAATACAGGGGCTTTCCAGTCATTTGCATATACTCAGAACAGTAAAAGTAACGGATCAGGCTAAGAATAGTCTGAAAATAATTATACTGTTTTGTATATCATGAAACAGAAGCCTTGGTTTTCAAAGCTCCTGGTTCCAGATGGTCCCTGAAAGCAAGAACTACCCAAGTCTGACACCTTGGGATATGGCCCTCCTGCTTCGCACACCCTGTGCTGCTCAGAGGGCCAAGGACACAGGGATAAAGGTGACCGAGCCCTGCCCTCGTAAATCTTGTCCTCTGACTTACTACACACCTGTGATTGGGTTGGAGAGAGCTACTACTGTTATCATCACTGTGGCCCTGGGGATTGAACGCCGGGTCTTCATGCTGAGCTGTGTTTTCAGTTCTTTTTTTGAGACAGATCTTGCTACCTTGCCAATTTGTTCAGGTTGGGCTCAAACTTGCAGTCCTCCTGCTTCAGTGTCACAAAGTGATGTGACTATAGGCACGTACTATCATGCAAGCCAAGAGGTCAAGAGGTATTATTTTGCACAGATATGAAATAAAGTACATTGGATGCTAGTGGTGTGCCTACACTAACAGCAACCACAAAAAAGTGCATTCAAAACAAACCACCTGCTAGAGTTTGTATCTTTGTGTGTGTGTGTGTGTGTGTGTGTGTGTGTGTGTGTGTTACATCTCCAGCCCTTTAAAAGTTATTACTTTGAGACAAGGTCTTGTTTAGCCACTAAATTGCCCAGTGATCTTGCAGTCCTCCTGCCTCAGCCTCCTAGAGTGCTTAGAAACCTTTTCTCTTTATAAATCTCTTTATCTTAGATATTTGTTATAGTGACAGCAAGCTGACTACTTCACAAGGGAAAAAAATGCCCCAAGCTGGAGTACAGACGTTTCTCAAGTGCTAACCATTTGTCCTTTATGAATCTGTTTCTTCATTTATAAGAAAGAAAGAGGGAGAACAATATGATGCTTACTTTCCAGCATAAGCTGCATAAAGGACATTTCTTGAGACTTCATCAAAGAAATGTATGTGAAAAGTGCTGTGAAATCTATTTCTATTGTTGGCAGTGCTGGGGATTGAACCCAGGGCCTCAGCACTGAGCCACATCCCCATCCCTTTTAAAATTTTGAGACAGTCTCATTAGTTGCCCAGATTGGGCTCAAACTTGCAATCCTCCTGTCTCAGCTTCCTAGAGTACTGGAACTACAGGCATGTGCCACCACTTGAACCAGCAATGGTTCAAGAAAATGCAACCATTTCTGGGCAGCCTACTGCAGAGTAGCCTTTAATAATTGTGGTCTAACTTAAGAGTTCTCATTTTCTACCCTTCAGGTCCCTCGATCATATATTGGTCACTGCACCTTGGGGCATGTTCGGATGAAAACAATCACTTCAAGCTGAACTTTGACTTGGAGAGCTTCAGTGACATGCTTACAGGCCTGAAGGCAACTGCAGCCCATCGTGCGGTTCTAACCTAAATATGCTCGAGCTTCATGAAACGGGCACTGGGTCAGATGAGGAACATGCGGTGACATCTCCATCCTCACAGTGAAGAGTGAGCTCCCCAGGGGCCTAGAAGAAGGGGTGTGCCTTCCTGTGCCCTGAACTCCTCCGTGCTGAGGTGAGGGGAAGCATCCTGGCTCTGAGGGGTCACTGGCTGAGGCTCTGTGATTCAAGTGCAGGGTGGTGCTGTCCTCAGGAGCCCACGGGCCAGGGCTATGAGTGGCTCCTTGTTTTCAGACTTCCATCAGTATTTACTTCTAGCAGTTTAGTGCTGGAAGACACTTCCCAGATAAGCACAACACCCTGATCCATGGAAATAAAGCTGAACAACTCCAGAGGCAGGGCTGGAAGCAAGACCTTCCATGCAGACTGGGCCACCACACTGTGACAGGCAATACTGTGCTGTGGTGCTTGGTTATACCGAGAATCAACAAATGGAATAATATCAAATTCAGAAGCCTCTTCACAGTAAAGGAAATCAATATAGTGCAAAGACAACCTACAGAATAGGAAAAATAGAGCATATTGCCAGCTACACCTCAGAGAGAATACTAATATCTAGAATAAAGAATTTATTAAAAATTAGACACCTCAAAACAAAAGACTCAACCAAACACTTGGCAATTGAAATGAATAGACATTTCTCAGAAGAAGAGACATAAATGACCGATAAATACATGAAAACATATTTAGCATCTTTGGCCAACACAGAAATGCAAATATAAACACCACGATTCCACCTTACTCCAGTAAGAAAGACCATTATCAAGCGCTCAAGCAACAACTATTGCTATAATTCCAGCACTTAGGGGGCTAAGCCAGGAGGACTAAGTCATGAGTTTAAGCCCAGCCTGAACTATATAGTCTCAGTGAACAAACTAACTTCCATCTCTACAATGAATGCTGGTGAGGCTATGGGGAAAAAGAAACCCTTCTACACTGTTGGTGAGACTATAAGCTAGTATACCAGTATGAAAATCAGTATGGGAATTTCTCAAAAACCTAAACATAGAAATTCCTTTCCTAGTATCTTTGTGAAGATCTTAGGTTGTAATATATAAGCATACTCAGGTTCACAACAGCGTGACTCAAAATAGCTAAACCACAGAAGTGGCCTATATGCCTATCAACAGACTCAAGGATAAAGAAAATTTTGTGTTAGGGCTGGCAAGATAGCTCAGCAGACTAAGTGCCTGGTTAAGCAAGTGCAGGGGCCAGGGTTCGATACCCCATCCCGGATGCCACACTATCCCTCCCCAGAGCATGCTGAGCCTGCAACAGAGTCCAGGAATGGTGGCACAAGCCTGTAATCCCAGAACTGGGAAGGCTGAAAACAGGAGGATCACTGTAAGTCCAAGCTGCGTAGTGAGACCCTGTACAAAACACATTTTTTAAAGAAGAAAATATTGTGTTATACATAATGGAGTACTATTCAACCACTAAGGAGGATATAGTTGAGCCACTTGTAGGAAAACAGATGGATCTTAAGTCCACAGTACTAAGTGAGATGTCAGTCACAAAAGCTTAGATATTACACAGTTTCTCTAATATGAGAGACTCAACATATAAACAATGTAAAGAGCAAAATGGAAGAGAACAGGGAGATGGACTCTATAGAGATGGAAAGGGGTTCAAGGGAAGGAGGGGTGGGGGACCAGGAAGAAAATGATTGTGATGCGATATGCACATGTATTTAACCCCCAAGCATAATGTAATCCCTACAGACCACAGCATATAAAATTTTGGGGCAGCAAGATAGTTCAGCAGACTAAGTGCCTGCTTTGGCAAGCACAGGGATCAGGGTTCAAGCCCCAGTCCCGCCTGCCACACCAGCCTCACTCCTGGGGCACATAGCCTGCAACCAAGTCTGGGCGTGGTGCTGCATGCCTATAATCCCAGTGCTGGGGAGTCTAAAAACAGGAGGATCACTGCGTCCAATCTTCATAGTGAGACCCTGTACCAAATACATAAAAAAAAAAGAAAAAAAAATTTCAGTATATCTAAGCCCAGGCAGAGAAAAAGAATAGGGATTTTGGCATTCTTTTTCTTTTTGCTTTTCTTCCCATGCTTATTAAAGTGGAATCTCTATGTTTTAATATGCATTTCTCGATTGGCCAAAGATGCTGATTTTTTTTCACATATTCATTGGTCAACTGTATTTCTTCTTCTGAAATGTGTCTATTCATTTCAATTGCCAAGAAAAAATTAGGGCCAAGGGGTCAGCAAGATAGCTCAGCAGACTAAAGTGCTGGCTTAGGCAAACATGGGGACAGTGGTTTGATTCCCTGGCACCACATGCCATGCCAGCTCCACGCCCAGGGTGGGCTGAGCCAGCCAGAGTCCAAGCATGGTGGTGCACACCTATAATCCTGTTGCAGGGGAGGCTGAAAGCAGGAGGATCGCCATGAGTCTGAGCCGCATAGTGAGACCCTGCAACAACCAAATACATGAAGGAAGAAAGAAAAGAAAGAGAAAGAGAAAGAGAAAGAGAAAGAAAGAAAGAAAGAAAGAAAGAAAGAAAGAAAGAAAGAAAGAAAGAAGGAAAGATGCCTAAGATGTTTGAAATGCAGTGAGATACTGAGGTTAAGCTTGATAGCCTAAATCGTTTGATAATAACGATAAGCTTGTCTTCTGGATGGTTAACAACCTAAGTTTGCAGACCAAAATTAGAGAAAAAGGAGGGCCACAAGGAAAGCCAACATTTTGGCCTTAGCCTTCCAAGGTCAATTAAGACTCAGGACATATGAGAACTTGTACTGTAACGTCATGTACCTCGGTAGTGTCCCAAATTTTCTGATCAAGAAGATTATGGGGCCAAAGAGGAAAGTGATCGATGACGTAGAGTGTGCCTAAGGAGAGTCAAATGGGGAGAAGACACTCTCTCAGGCTTCGACAGAGAGCACATTGGCCAAGCAATGGCTGTGACTCATCCACATGCTGACACTGACAAATGTTCTACAATCTGAGGTACAGGATCTCAGGATAAATCCTGAGGGCATTTCATTGACCTTTTCAGACCAAAAAGCTACAACTGCATAGGTCCTGCTTTACCTTGGTCTTAACCATCCAGTAGAAAAGTATGAAGACGAAATATAGGAAATAAAGCCATGTTGTTATGTTGAGCTGTGGGGGACTCAGGTCAATAATTTCTGACATTGTCAGTTAAACAGAAGACTCAATGCTATTATGAGCTACTGGACTCTTTTAGAATATTTTGCTGAGTTTACACAACTATAATATTCAATAAGGGAACTTAAAAAAAATGGGGTATAACTATGAATGTCCATTTTGTATCTGTGTATTCAAAGTGGTTAGAACAGATATATAGTTGCATTCTCTTAATGAATAGAATGATTTGTTCTAATGGTGTTTGTAAATAGGATCCCAAGTCCACATCTTGTACAGCAATTAACCACTAAGAAGAATATATGCAGTGTGTTATTTGTTGAAACTATACTTGCAATTTGATTTGAAACTGTCTCATTGCTGTTTATCAATAAAATTTTGAAAAAAAAAAAAAAAGAAAGAAAGAAAGAAAGAAGGAAAGAAAGAAAGAAAGAAAAGAAGAAAATAAACTAGGGCCAAGCATGGTGGTGCATGCCTAGCACCCAAGTAGTCCTAGCACTTGGGAGGCTGAGGCAGCAGGACAGAGAATTTGAAGACAGCCTGGGCTACATATTGAGTTCAAGACCAGGCTTGGCTATGTAACAAGAACTTGTCTGAAAAAAAAATAAAATAAGGAATTATGTCTTCACTTTTATTTCTGGATTTTAGGTTTCCCCTTTATACTGAAATTGCATTCACAATTCTCAATACCTCTCCACGTGTCTAATTTCTTTTCATAATGTAACTCAATGCATTTATAACTCAGAATTAAATTTCCTACTCCATTAGAGTCTTTCCTTGGCATCAAGCATTGTCCAAATATAGGCATGCTCTGTGAAGTCATGCTCGACCTTGAGGACCCAGCCCTGACACAGACATCTGAAACTGAGCCACACCTTGGGCCTGGTCTTCAGACATCACCTGTGCCTGCGGTTGGCAGTCTAATTATGACTGCCACTCTGGTCACTTATTCATGGAAACAGATTTACATAGCAAATGGTTAATAAATGCAGGTGCTTGGAGTGTTGTGAATTGTGCCCCCCCACTTAGAGAAGGTCTATGTGTTTCTATTTGTTACATGAACTCAGCTCCCAAAGATCTGTGTTTTTCTTTGTGTGTTACATACTTTTGTTATCTTAAAGCATTATATGCCCTACACTGAGGGTCTATTCTTTGGAAAACAATTCCACTGCTTAGGAACAGTGGAATTACCAGAACCACACTCCTACTCCAGTGCAATGGCACTAGGGGACTCAGTTGGCAAAGTGTATGGGTAGTTCTTTCCTACAGACATAAAAGGAAAATAATTAATTCAGTACCACAGTCAAGTTTCAGAGACCACAGTGCTATCAACTCAAACAAGGAAGTAGTGCCTGCCTGGTTTCATCAAGAGTGAGAAAATGTGATTGGTGTTTCTCTCCACGAAGAATACACCAATAGAAATGTTCTCCTTCAGACATCTGTTCTCTAGAACCTGAAGACCAGCTAATCAAGTGTTCCAGGGATACCAACAAACACAAATTGTAGATGAAATTCTTTTGGCTGTCTGGCCTCACTCCTAAATGTAGTGTTCATCTCACTGAGTTCCTAAGGCACCAGGCACTACAGAAAGTGCTGCAGATGTGATGTTATAAGACATGTAAAAAGAAAAATATATATATATGTAATAAATATAATGGCAGAGTGACACCTCCTATTGTCAAAGAGAGTGTGAAGAACAAGAACAACATATTATTTTTTCAGAGGGAACAGAGAATGCTCTGAAAAGAAGGAGACCTCTGAATTTGAACCAGCACTCTGGATAGAGTGGCAAATAATTCTGTAAGAATGTACAAAACCCGGAAGTGGAAGGCAGCATTTCACAGTAGAAATACATGAAGCCCAATATTTCTCAAAGTCTCGTGTGATGTGGGAGAGAGTGAGGACAAAGCTACACTGAAGAACAGAGATAGAGTCCTGAAGGTTCTCAAGTGCCAGGCTGGGAATTGCATGCTGGAGGCATGGAGAGGTTAGGGATGGCACAGAAGGTCATAGGGGAGTCTGTGCACCATTGCAGGCTTTGATGAAAGCAGTGCAGTGAAGCTAAAAAGAAGCAGAGGTTTGGAGCACAAGGAGGTGATTATTACTGAAGAAGATCAAGGGCTAAGGATGTGGAGGTGCTGCTCTGGGGACTTCAGAAGGGGAAAGGCATGGGCAGAGACTGGTCCTCTGAAACTGATTTGTCCCAAGAGTATAGTCTCAAGTCATGCTGGTTATAGGTGCAGGGTTCCTCCTTCCTCATCTTTTAACATTTCTTCTCATCTACTGAGCTGTCAATCAATTTCCCCCAGAGTGAATGGCTGGCATACTTCTCTCCATGTTCCCTAGAACATGAGGTGCAGAAGGGTTAACTCAGATGTAGTCCCCTAGAACTCACGGTGAGCAGGTTGATCAAATCCATGTTGGGCTCTAAGTGGTGAGAGGCGTTCTGCAGGGAGACCAGTTCACTCAGGGTAACGGAGAGCTGGTGCATTTTCACAATGTTCACTTTGTTCTCCTCCATCCAGTCTGGGAAAATGACATGGACCGCTATCAAGTCTTTCAAGTGTACTCCAAGGATGGGGATTTTGAAACCATCACAGTCAGCAAAGGCCTTGCGGTAACTGCAATAATTGCCATTGGAGGAGACCAACTCTGTCATTTCATTCCAGTTCTGGGAACAAATGGAAAAGTAGAATTTTCAAACAGTTTTCTCTTTGCCCACCCCCAGGGCCTGCAATAAATATGTGGCTAGGAAATTCCTCAGCTACTGAGAGAAGTATCAGTTGTACCCACAGTGATGCAGGGGACTATTAACCAAGAAAAATAAAGTGAGCAAAGTGTACTAACTAGGTCTGGCTGGGAGACGCATAGCTTGTTCCGTTCAGCTACAAATCAGAAATAGCTGGCTCCTCTGCCTGCTTCCTAGTGATGGTGGGATGTAAACGATATTGTGTACACTTAGTAGGTTGCAACTCATAAAAATATTACAGTCCATAAACTTAAGCATACAATATATCATAACAGCTAGTTGTTCCAAGCAAGTTCCATTCCAGATATTAACCGAAAGAGAATCTGAACCACTGTAATGCTATAGAGTAGGAGAAGCTGCATTAGAATGAGAAGCAGCTGTGGATGTTTGACTGCACTGACTAGAAGACTGAACTTGAACAAATCAGCTCAGTTTTTGGATCTCAATTTCCTCTTGTATGGGAAAAAGGAGTTCAAATAAATAAGTTTTAAAGACACACTAGTAACGCCAAGCTTCTATGAGCCTCCATCAGAGTCTTATTCTTTATGACATTTAAATTTGTTTCACTTTTTAGTTGGAATTTAGTACAAAGTCAAAAGAAAACAAAACACATAATGAGTCCTATTGTATTTGGAAGGAGTGCAAAATTTGAGGTCAAACAATGGTACTTCTGTGGTTTACTTCCTCTTCCTTATTTGGAAAAGTCATTGGTGGTTGTTTTACAGCAACCAGATCTTTCTAATAGACCCCAATTATCATCAGTCTTCTCTTTCCCAAAACAGTTCATAGATAGAGCTGTGTCTGCCCACATAACCAAGAACAGGTTCTCATTTGCCATTATAGAAATTCCATCCCTCTGATTTGTGATTGGTTTAACAACATGAGCTCAAACCAATCAGGACACTGTACGTCCTGGCAACCATCACCAGTCCAGAGTGGACATAGCATGTGAGATGGCCCAATCTGTCTAAAAAGGTCTTTAATCCCATAAGGACAGGGTTAGAGTGAGAAGTGTTGTCTGTCTCCAAATTTCATGAACAAGGCAGGATTTTGGCATTCCTACAGACAGCCCAATCAGGCGGAAGCAAACAAGTCTAAAATGAAGCAAAGGAAACAAAACAAAGCCACATAAAACCCTAAGAAGACAGAAGAACTGAGGTAGGCCTCTGATCAGACCATATCTAAATCCTGCTCTGCCTCTGGACTTCTAGGTATGTTAGAAAATATATTTTCTGAGCTGAGAAGATAGCTCAGTGGTCTAAGCACCTCCCTGGCAAGTGCAAGGGCCTGGGTTCAACCCCTGGTACCACATGTCCTGCTGGCCCTGTGCCTAGCCAGCCACCAAAACTGGGCATAGTAGCACATGCCTGTAACCCCAGTGCTGGGGAGGCTGAGACAGGAGGATCACTACAAGTCTGAGCTGCATAGTGACACTCTGTACCAAATAAATAAATAAAAGATTTAAAAATTAAAATATAGTTCCTTATTATTTAATCAATTTGGATTTTTTTTCTTTTTTAACATAAAAACTAAACATGTCCTTACTGATAGAGCAAAGTACAGTTTTACAAGGGAATATTTCATAAGGGTAAAATGCTCCTCTTTGCTCGATAAGGGAAATAATTATGTACATGGTCTGGAAAGAAATATAGCAGCAAACTATATGTATTTGTGACAACTCAACCATAAAGCTGAGTATTACTATATTAGACCTATGTCTTCCCCTTCCTTTGTATCTTCTGCTTTATCAAGCACAGTTCTAAACAGAGCGGCCATTCAGTGACCCCATTTCCATGAAGGGAGAGGAGCAGTGATTTCTGTCTTATTCATCTGGCATCTTCCATGCATACCATAGTACCCACCCAATAGTAAGCACTCAACAGATATTTGTTGACTATTCACAACTGCAGTGCGTTAATCACACATGGAAGGGTTCTCATCGAAACACTTAGCATCAGTCTGTCCTGCTTTTCCAGGTGAACTCAGCTAGAGTGGCTGTCCCCGTCCCATTCTGTTTCCCATGGGCATCCTACTATGGGTTTAAGAAAAACACTTCTCCATTCTGAGGGATATTTGTTAGGGATATACTATACCTAAACAGCTTACTAATGTTTACTTACAATGAAGACCAAAATCCACTGTACCTTTGTAACCTCTGAAGAAAGGTGGGAATGGGTCTCTTTGAGGCGTGAAATGGAACTGTGACTAAGGCCTCCCACCACCGCCATCAAGGTGTTAAAATTTTTGAGCTGAAGGAGCTTCTGCAACAGAAATGTCTTAACATTAATAATTTGTAGGAATTTTTTAAATTTTCTGAACTTTCTGAGACCAAGGTAAACCTACGCACAATTTAAATAACAGAGACATAGTAAACAGTTGCATTGACTTAAAATGAAGTGTGAATATAATCTGCTAGAAAAACATATCAATAATTTTGACAGAAAAGCTAAGTATTGCTCTTTAAACCAATCTTGTTGCATTAAAAAAGTGTGATTTGTTCATTAGTTATCCATAAGTAGTTTAATCATTCATTGTCCTTATATTATAAACACCAAATATCCTCAAGACTTTTCTCAATATATTGAAGGGACATCCAGAATCCAAGAACCCCAGTCTGGTTACCAGACATACCTTTGCAACATTGATAAACTTTGTGATGACTTCTGCCCTTTGCTGGGGGGTTGGTTTGCTAAGAACCATCAACTGGACCCACTTAGAGATTCCATTAAATAAGGCAATCGATCTCTCCAAGGTTGGGTTATTCTCCAAGCAACCATGGATAACATAGCTTTGGTAATCGGTGAACTAGTAAAGGAAGATTCAGAGATACAGATTCAGAATGATAATGGAGCTTTTTGCAAAATCAGACATTAGACCACTGCACAGAAGACTGTGCTTTATAACAACAATTTAAATAACAGAGACATAGCAAATTATTCATTCCACTTAAAAAGATATCCTACAAGTTAAATACGTAGATACCTTTAACCAGTTATTTTGCTTCATTTCCAATACCACTTCCATATAACACAAATGCACAATATCACAGTATCAGGGAAGGGAAGAAAGGGTAAACGTGAAGGTAATGTTTCAGGGTATCCCAAATTTACTGAATCATAAGATCCTCTTTGGTTATATGTCAAAATGCTGGTTCTAGGAACACCCAAGACATAAGGGATGAATATCTCTAAGAATCTTCATTTTTAATATACTACTGATGATAAAAATATTTAAGATTCACTGCACTAAAGAACAGGAAATGAAAAATGAATATAAATATAATAACCTCAAATAGAAGTATTTTGTAAAAGTTGTTTCACAATAAAAGAGATAAAGGATCATACGAAGGAAGGCACCTCGTGAGCAGAATGTGCATATTCTCAGAAAGTTTAGCATGGACAGCTTCAAATATCTAGGATCCTGGGCTGAGGAGATAGCTCAGTGGTCTAAGCACCTGCCTGGCAAGCACAAGGACCTGGGTTAAATGCTGGATACCGCATACCTTGCCAGCCCCGGAACGGGCATATCATGCCAGCCCTGGAAGTAGGTGTAGTGGTGCACGACTGAAATCCCAGCACTAGGGGGACTGACACAGGATGATCACTATGAGTCTGAACTGTATACTGAGAACCTGTACCAAAAAAAGAAAAAGAAAAGAAATATCTAGGGTTCCTCTATCATCTGAGATGATTTCCTCCAATTCCTTGCTTTTGTGAATTGGTAAAGCTATGTCCAAGCAGGGTTGTTTAGTGAAAGATCAGCAAATTCATGCTTTTTCTAATCAAGCTGGCATTCTTTGCAAGTAATAATGTGAATCAGTTTCTGGTACCTTGGAAAAGGAAGAGGACTGACTTCCCTAAAGCTTGAGGAGACAAAGCAGAGTAGCTGGCTGATTACCAACCAATGTGGAAAGACTGTCAGAAATAGACAACAAAAAGAAGGAACTAGACCACAGTCAAGGCAAAAACAAGAGGCCCTATCAAGAGGGAGGGAACAAAGCCCTATCAAGATGAGCGGGGAAAAAATTAATTCAGGATCTCTAACACTGGGAAGGAAAGTCTGATGTTGAGAGTCTCCTTAAAACACAGAATTTCTATTTTCTCCCTAAACCCATAACTAAGCATTTATACAAACCTCAATCTAAATGTTTTCCCTCCAAATAAGGGCCTGGCAAAGCATGTTAACTTGGGGGACGTCAATGGCACTAGGAAAACTTTGAATGGTTAAATCTCTACTGAGTATTTAGAAAAAAATCTATGAAAGGAGACATTGAAAAACCGACAGAAATATAGCTCCAGAGCCATAAAAATCAAGACAGGATAATGTTTATCTTTGGTTAATAGGGATTGTTTCTGTGAATTAAGGGCAATTTTTCAGCAGATCACAGGGACAGGGGCTGCCAACGCTTCCGAGCATGAAAATGTGGGTCCTGGGAAAGTTGCCACAGTGGTTGCTATCCTTGGAAGAATAAATGTCAAGTTCCTTACTGAGATTCTCCTAAAAGATTTATGCTCCAGAAAAGTGAGGTGCTCTGCCAATTCAATGGGCTCCAGATGATCAAACAGCAGACAGGCCTTGCCTTTCTTGGATACTTTCTTCCTCTGAGTGACTCTTCTCATCCAATCATAAGAAGGACTAGAAAAGAAGATGGAGCTGGTCAGTGTGCTGAATCCCATTTCACTTGATGGACACGGTTGATCTGCAGACTCTGTAACACCGGGCCTGTTTCTGAGAGTTTATGCGAAATACACACCCTGTCCTTTGTACATGAAGAGAAATCCACTGACCCACTGCCAATAGAATATAGATTTAGAGTTGTTTTTCCAGATAGAGTGGTTTGCTCTAACCCATCCAGAGTCTCTCAGGTGGTTTTCCCTACAGTCAAGCAAGCTCTGGACCTTAAAGGTGAGGTCACGGATAGGTATATAAATCTGGCTGTTTAGAAGCTTCCCAATGGTTATTTAAGGTGAATGGAAACCACCAAAAACTAGCCTGTATTCTGACACTTTGGCATGATACAAATTATCTGGAAAAATTGTTACAAAGACAGAGGCCTGGACCTCATTGCCAGAGAATCTGATTTACTAGGAATGAACCTGAATGATATATATTTTAAACAAACATGCCTGATGGTTCTTCAATCAGTCACTGTTGAAGTATTTCAGGTTAAGAGATTATGGCAGGAATGCCTAAGACAAAAGAACAACCATTTGCAAGATGGTAATCATACATAGGATCATGAAATAATTTTCTCCATGTAAAGTTAGTCCATAGGAAACAAACCTAACACTAAATTCTTTTATTACTGAACAAACCAGTGTACCGCATCACTGAAGTCAACGTTTGTATAACCTTAGGTCAACCTCAGAAGCACCATGGTACAAGGCTTCTCAAACTGAAATAAGTGTCTAAATCACCCGGGGATCCTTATTTACTTGTGCATTCCAGCCAGGCATGATGGCACTGCCTGTAATCCCAGAACCCTGGTGGGCTGAGACAAGAGGATGTAAATTCAAGCCCAAGCTGAGCAATTTAGTAAGACCCTGCCCCGAAACTGGAAAAAAAAAAAAAAAAAGGTAGGTCAGTGGGGAAGGCCCTGGATTCAATCCCCAGTGCTGGAAAAAAGAAAGTACTGATTCCAGTTCAGCAGGTGGGGCCCAAGATTTTGCCTTTCCAATGAACACTCCAGAGATGCCAATATTACTGATCTGAAGACCACACAGTAAGTAACCAAGGCATAGGAGACATCGACTAGCTTCAGATTCAGAAACTAAATACTGAGAGTCTATTATGTGCCAAGTGCTTCCATATGCTATCTTATGTGCTTTTTGGATGCTTTTCATAACCCCATGAGAAATGCACTTTTCCCATTTTACAAATTGGTAGCCTGGAGAGGGGAGTTGTATCCAGTGTGTCTGTGTGCACCGCAGCTGGTTCTCCGTGAACCTGACCACAACTCTAGAGCTGTACAGATTCAGGTCGAGTGGGGCATTGCTAACCCTGCCCCAGAGCTTTGGACTTATCCAGTGTGAAAGACACTGGTGCCATCTTACATGCTGGATATGTCGATGAGGCTGGCATGTGCTTCATGTCCCAGTTGACTAGCTACTTCCCGGAATTCCTCAATCATGTGAATCAAACCAAGATCCAAATTAAACTCCGCAGGAAACTTCAGAATCCAGTACCTGAAAGGAATACAGCACATCTGACAGCTGGAAGCTTTCAAGTTGGGCGTCTGTGAGAACTGTTGTTCTACCACACAGACTACTTTTCATGCTGGATCGAATTACCCATCTCCTGTCCCCACCATCAACACAGGCTCTCTGCTTTCCTTCAGTCAAGAACTGAGATCCAGTGCCCTGAATTCTTTCTGACTCTCTGCAGAATGAGAGCAGAGAAGAAACGCACTCCCTAGTTCTCAGCATGGAAGGGAAAATGTGTGTGATGAAGAGGTTTAAAAGACTGAAGTCACCCTCTGTAAAATCTTATTCTGTCCTCCACTGGTATTCACCACTTTTGGGCTGTAGTCTTCAAGGTAAATTCTACCCCGACATTCCCAGAAGAAAGAAGGGCCATGTTTAATAAGCAGTAAAAGGGTCGGGGGGTCTGAGTAGATTCTTCGGTCAAACTAGGTCTACCACTTAGAGGAAAAGGAAATTGTTAACAACCCCAGAAACAGTAACTGCAAAGGAAGTAAAACAATATATTTACCTTATGAAATAGCAGATCTTCAGTCGAAACTCGTTGCAGCTATCTCCACTGGCATTTTGATACGTGCCCGAGTTAAAGAAAAAGTCTTTGTTGCCCTTGTAGACCCCTGCAGCTGACAGCTTCAACTCACAGCTCCCTAGTAAAAGGGCCATACTAGGGTATTTAGATTAAAGACTGGCCAGCTCTTATCCTAAAATCCCAATTCCAAAATTATCTAAATTCCAGAACTTCTTGAACACGGACAAGGATATAAGTAGAACATTCCAAACTGACCTTATGTGACAGATCATATTTAAAATGTATGCAAATTTAAAATATCTTATAATGACCAGCCAGACTGCTCAGCAGAATAAAGTGTCTGCTTAGACAGAGCACAGGGACTGGGGTTCAATCCCTGGCACCACAAATCCCTGGCCCTGCACCCGGGGTGCACTGAGATGGTGATTAAGACTGGGCATGGTGGGCCGACCAGATAGCTCAGCAAACTAAAGCACCTGCTTAGGCAGAGCACAGTGGCCAAGGTTCGATTCCCAGCTTGCCGTGCTGTGCTGGCCCCACCACCAGGGTGCACTGAGACAGCAATTGAGACTGGGCATGGTGGCACATGCCTGTAATCCCAGCACTTGGGAGGCTGAAAACAGTAGGATCACTAAGAGTCCGATCTGTGTAGTGAGACCCTGTAGATCCTGCACTAAATACTTTATATATATATATATATATATATATATACACACACACACATATACATATACATATATATGTATATATATATACATATATATATATCATACATTATCTTCAGGTTACATGTACAAGTTATACATGTAAAATAAGTGAATTTTGTGTTTAGACTCATTCTTAAGATTTCTCAATACACATAGGCAAATATTGTAAATTTTTTTGTCTTTTTGTCTGTTTTTTTTTTATGCAGTTTGAATGGCCCTTGAACTAATTTTGTAGCCCAGGCTGGCCTTCAACTTGTAGTGATCTTCCTGCCTCAGCCTCTCCAGTGCTGGGATTATAGGCATGTACCACCATGCCTGGATTTTTGTTTATTTTTTGAGACAGTGTCTCACCATATAGTGCAGAGTATAATCTAGGCTGGCCTTGAATTTATGGTAATCCCTCTCTCCCAGGCTCTTAAATCCAAGATCTGCAACACTCTGGTCCTAGGCACTTTGGGTAAGATATATATATAAGAGATAGACTACTTTAACACTGAGTGGTTAAAACCTGACTTGAAATTTCAGGGACTAAAATCTCCCTATAAGTGGGGACTGTATTACCAGCTACATCACTTTTAAACGCTTTTCAGGACTGAATTATGTACAAAAGTGGGAGGTTGCTGAAAGCACCTTCTTAGTGCTGGGGATGAAAACCCAGGTCCTGGCTCATGCTACGCCAGTGCTCTACCACCATGGTCGCACCCTCAGCTCTAGGCAAGTGTTTGTGTTCTGTTCTTATTTGAGAAGAAAATCTAAAGTTAGCATCCAACAATAAATTACAATAAACCTACTAAGATGTTCATTGGATCCTGCCAGCTAGGAATAATGTAAAATCTAAGTTGATACTTGTACCTAGGCCAGAGCAAATTATGTTGGCTGGCATCTTCACATTTCTTCACTGTGTCCTCTATACCCAGGATTTTGTTATCATAGGTGGAATAAATCCAGACTTGAATTGGTGCTAAACATTCATTCATTGTCATAGCAGTCAAAAGGTTTAAGACAAGTTAGTAGCACTCAGCTACAGCTTCTGTTTCATTTTACATCTTAGTGATTATTTTCAAGTAGAGCCAAGACGCCCAGTGGAGAGTCAACTCTTTGGTCTATCACCCAGCTGTTTCATCTAGACAGCTAAATATTCTTAAAACAGCTGGAAAACAGATGAAGCCTGTTTATTCATCTTAATTTACTGGTTTTTGGATAGACTTTATATCTAAATACAGAACTCGATTTATGACGGAAATGATTACACAGTAGTGAAAAAGATATATGCAGAGAAGTTTTTCTGCCAATTCAGTGGAAGATAAATACCATCGGTGCATCAGTAGGACAATTCTTGGCAAATAACTATTATCCAAGTCTCCATTGTCATCTGTTAAAAATAAAATAAGGGTAAAGAGATAATAGTACAAGTTTGCTTTTTTCCTAATGTCACTAGAAAAATAATAAGTCTCCAAAATTCTTCATAAACCCAGTTACTGTTTATTTTCTACTTCTGTTGGCATTTCTTTACAGGTTACACTGGGTGAACCTCACACTTTTCCTAGTTTATAGTTGATAGACTGAACAATAAAAATATAGAACTCTCAGGAAGATGTAATTTAAGGTAAATAGTGACTAGGGTTTTTGGTTTTGGTTTTTTTGTTTTGTTTTTTAGTATAAGTATGTCCCAGGCATTATTTAGGACATACACAAAATGTTGATTATCAAATATTGAAACTTAACTGATCACTCTGTATCTTGTCTGACAAACATGCTCTGCTCAGATAGATACCTGTGGTGATCAATTAAACAAGCCTCGTGTGACTATTTGTGTAAGAATCATCCAATGCAGGGGTTGATACATTCTAAAAAGCATATAGCAGTAAGGCCGATCATTCACTAAGACTTACATGGTGTGTACAGTATGGAACACAGTAGATTGTGCTGGCCACACTAGCAACATTTACAGCAGAACAGACCACACGCCCCAAGAAAGTTACCTGGGGTGTGAGAAAGGGGAAAATCCACCAGCCTTTCTGACAGGGCTCAATAGGAATTGCTTACGAATGACTGAGGTGACAGCTGAGGTGAGCCAGGAAACAGATTTTCAAAGACAAGATTATAATAAAAGCATGGAAATAGAAAGAGAGCAGGAAATGTTCCCGAAACATTAAGTAGAGAGTTTGGCTGGAGTCCAAGCTGTGGGCAGTTGAAAGAAAGAAATGTGGAGGGCAGTGAAACTAGAGACACAGATTGAGGCAGATCCGAAAGGCCTCAGCTACCATTGTATAGCCACTGAATTCTGTTCCACAAGTAACCTGAGTCGCATGTGAGGGAAAATAGAATGAAAATAGACAAAAGAAATGAATGACAAATGACACGTACCGAACATCTCAATGCAGGTGCTCAGCAGTTCGTCTAGCGTGGCTGCTTTCCCAAGGCTGCTGGACCCCATGGCTGCGGACCTGCGGTCAGAAGCCCGCCGACATTCTCAGCACCAGACAGGTCATCTCCACAGCAGAGCGAGCCAGTGATTTTCCTGCCCAGTCCTGGCCTCTGTTCTTAGTTACAGGGCAAGAAAACTCTACATAAGAAAGAAAGTTAATGGGTTAGATAGAGTTCAGACTCCATCAAAGCACTGCCTTCCTACCTGGAAAAAAAAATGACTCAGCAGTTGTCACTTTCTTGTGAAAAGCCTTAAAGGGACTGAGATGATATCAACCAGCATGAAGGTAAAATGCTTGCAAAATTGTTCCTCAGCATCTCTGGGATTTTGACACACAGAGATGTTCTATTAGAGACTGACCTATTTCACAGCAAAATGCTTTCTTTGCTTCTACCGTGCTGGGGGTTGAACCAAGACACTTATGTTAGGCCAGTACTCTACCTCTGAGCTATGTCCTCAGCCCCTTTCCAGTTTGAGACAAGGTCTTGCTGAGTTACCTGGGCTGGCCTTGAAGTTGTGATCCTCCTGCCTCAGCTTCCCAGGTAGCTGGAACTACAAGATCTGCACTGTCATGCTTGGCTTTGAAGTGTTTCTTTTCTTTTCTTTTCTTTTCTTTTCTTTTCTTTTTTTTTTTTTTTTGAGACAGGGTCTCACTATGCAGCCCAGGCTGGTCTCAAACTCACAGCAATCCTCTCCCACGGTCTCCTGAGTGCCAAGATTACAGATGTGTACCACCACATCTGAAGTGTTTTTAAAACAAAAATTTATACTTTTTTCACATGCTTAAGCAAGCACTAAGGCAATCAAGAACATTATATTACTTGGTTATTGTAAGTTTACATACAAAGATAAATTTTAGAATGGAAATCTATTAATAAATATTATCCTCACTGATAATATAAGTGTTCAACAACTGAAACAAAAATTTATAGAAACAAAAATTTATAAAAACAAAAATTAATAGGAACAAATTCTATCTGCCTCAATCCACTAATAGTAACATTAGTAGAAGTGAAAATACTAACAATCGTTTATCAAACGACCCCATTATGCCCTAGAAGTCATAAAAAACGCTTTACATATATTATTCAACCTGACCTTCATTACCATGCTGGGAGGTAGTGATTACTATTCCTTCAATGAGCTTGTACAATTCACAGAGATTTGGAAATTTAAAAAAAAAAAAATTAAGGCCTAGAAGCAGGACTTTGTCATAAAATAAGGCTTCTAGGTCTCCTCTGTCCCTCTTCTGACTTCCCCAACAGAGGATATCAAACTCATAAGTTTACTGCCAAGTCTACTGTGAAGAACATCACTCTTCCATGCCATGTCAGACAAGGGATATAGCCCAGATTACTGTCCACGACATGGGTAGAAGGAACATGTGGGGTGCACAGCTTTCATGTTGGACAGCACCACTGTGGGAAAAGGGACTGGAAAAGTCTTATGGTCACCCACCCTGAAAGCACCCTGCACGGGACACACCATCACATTAATTTACAGAGCAAGTCCATGGTGCTGGCTCCACGGAGGACTGGGCAAGACAAAGAAGCTATTGCAGAGTGAGTTTTTATTCATTTTGGAGCTGAGTGGTACATGAGGTCATTAGAGATTCATCTCGTAAGTGTTTCAAGTCCGTGTCTGTGTGCTTTCAAATTTTGTTTATGCTACTGGCAATCACAGAGCACCTGACCTGTTCCAGACCCTAGATTTGACACTGAGGCTGCCAAGATGAGCAAACTGTTGTCCTAGTAGTGCCTTTAATGGGCTCACACTTGGCTTCAAAACATAAATGAATGAATGGGAAAAGACAACCAACGTCTATGTGAGCAATTATACTCATGCAGTGGGGCTAGGGAAGAGTGGCATTTGAGGGGTCTGTTCCCCAAGCATACACCTAGAGAAAAAAATGTTTACTCTCAATTCATTCTGTATAAGAGCCATGGTTTTGGGGTCAAAGGTGACACTTTTAGAGATAAAAGCAAGATCTTAGACTTATACTGTGGAGATTTTATTTCAAGTATGCATCAAAACTAACACAACAGACTGGTGCAACCATTATGGAAATCAGTGTGGAGATTCCTTAGAAACCTAGGACTGGAAATCCCATTCAAGCCTGCTATCCCCCTACTGGGAATTTTCCCGGAGGAACTGAAAATGCCATATCATAGTGATATATGCGTACCTATGGTTATAGCAGCACAATTTGTGATAGCCAGAACTTGGAAATAACCAAAATGCCCATCACATGTGGAATGTTTGAAAAGATGTGGTACTTTTATATAATGGAGTACTACTCAGCTATAAAGAATGATAAACTTGAAGCCTTCATATTT